AATGTAATTTGCATAAGTAATGGAGAAATTCTATAAATCAGCTGCATTACATTGTAGGACTAGTCAAGCTTGTGACATGTAATTGAGAACGAGAGAAACACAGGAAGATATTGATTATGTAAGTTAACACTTAATTTGCATAATTAATGAGAAAATGTAATAATTCCATAATGCTAACTGCCTGGAATTTCATACTTGGGGTTGCTGGTGTCTTTTCCAAATTTAAAGTGACCAGTGTTACTGCAGTAACGTACGGACCTCCCACGACGCCCTTTTCTTAACTTGATCTTCCTATCGTCAACGGTAACTTGCTCAGCAAAAATCGTGAACATCCATTTGCAGATTCACGAATTATCCCGCTAACAACAATAACGACCACCACAAAAGGTCAAATTCAATGACATGGAAACCCCCACGGGGCCCGTCTTTGAACTTGACCTCGGCATTCTCAACGGTAACTTGCCCACTAAAAATCATGAACATCCATTTAAGGATACTTGAGATATCTTGTACACAAGGAAAAAACACCAAAAACCAAGGTCAACTACAGTGACGTAGGAACCCCCCACGAAACCAATTTTTGGCCTTGACAATGGCCACCCCCAAGACAACCTGCCTGCCAAAAATCGTGAACCACGGACCATGCCTTTAAACTTTATCGTGCATAATCTACAAAACAGGCCGAAAGCGATTGCATAGCCTTCTCGTCGAAGGCAATAAGACTGCGTAGGCAGGAGTCAAAATGTGTGGACGTGGAAGGCGGCAATTTTATTCATGGCGTGGCGCTTCCTCCTACCTATTAGGAGAGAACGCCTGCAGGTCGAGCATGCCACCAACAATTCTGCTTTTGAGTGCCATTTTCTGGTTACCCACTGTATTACCATACTGTTTTGTCTGACTTGCCCCCCCCCCTTTATCGTCAGGGATGAAGGCTACAACAGCAACCAAACACTCTACAGCCTGTTTCCATTAACCCCATTGCTGGACAATAGACGTGCTGACTTCACTAACCCAGTAGTACTTTCCATATTTTTTAACTCTAAAGTTTTACCTTTAGCACCCTTTTGCAGACCTAAGCTCACCCTTTTTATGTAGTCCTCATAATTCTTCTGTCTGGAGATGTGGAGTTCAATCCAGACCCTAGGACAGCGAAGTACCCCTGCGGCGTATGCCATCGAGCCGTGTGAGAAAAGGAGGACGGCCGGAAAGCCATCTGCTGTGACTCGTGTGATGTCTGGTACCATACCGACTGCATGGGCATGTCAGCACCGGTTTATAATACCATCAATAACCCTAGTGTGTCCTGGATTTGCTGCTCCTGCCGCTTACCGAACTTCAGATCCAGTCTTTTCAACTCTACAGTTTTTGAAAGTTCGAATTGTTTCTCTTCCTTTGATACCAGCACCCCTTCTACTAGTCCAGCAAGATCTATCGGCTCCCCTGTAGCCACTTCTTCGCCCATTGGTTATAGTGTTACACCACCACCTCGAGACCGTACACTTACCAAGCCAGTCAGGACCTGTGTTGTCAATTTTCAATCTATTCGCAACAAGGTGCCTGAACTGCACGCATTCTGCGAAGCTGTGCAACCAGACATAGTCGTTGGCACCGAGACCTTGCTGGACCCTTCAGTGAATAGCAGTGAAGTGTTCCCTGACAACTACAACATGTTCAGGCCGGGGAGGGAGGGTGCTCATCGCTGTCAAAAACAACATTATAGCGACTCACCACCCCGACCCGGACTGCAACTGCGAACTGACGTGGGTCCGGGTCCATCTGGCTAACAGCAAGTCAATATATATTAGGGCCTACTATCCCCCCCCCCCTCTGCTGATCATGATGATTTTGTAGCACTGGGAAGATCGGTGCTAGCAAATGCGGGAAAAACAACAATGCCCACATCTGGCTGGCAGGTGACTTCAACCTGCCAGATGCGACATGGAATCCCGAAGTCGATTTAGTTACTTCTTAACCATCCAGTCTCACGGGAAATTACATCAGCCTTGCCAGCGACTGTGGCCTGGAACAAATGGTCTGTGATACAACATACACTAGGGGGCAGGCTTCGAACACCCTGGACTTGTTTATCACCACGAATTTTCACCTTAGTGAAGAGAGTCAAAATAGTGCCAGGTCTCAGTGATCATGACATCCCGCTGATTAATGTTCATGCCAAGCCCCAGACATCTAACTCTTGTGGGCCACTGATATACCTGTGGAGGAAAGCTGACACTGCTGCTCTCCAACAGGATATGTTATCGTTCAGCCGTGACTTTACAGACCAAGCACGGAACAATACTGCCTCAGAAAACTGGCAACTGTTTAAGGCAGCCATGACTAATGCTGCCAATAAACATGTTCCCAGGAAAAAAGTGAGGCGACAATCACACAAACCCTGGATAACATCCACGATCCGCAAAGCAATGCGCAAACGGTGAGAACATTTTTGCTAAGGCTAGAAAAACCAACTCCACTGAAGCCTGGGCAAAGTTCAAGAGGTGTAGGAAGGGGGTTAAGCAGAGAGAGTCCCATAGGGATTATGTTTCAAACTAACTGGAAACCAACATAGAGGATAATCCAAAGGCAGGACTCTACTGGTTCGTCAGCCCTGAGACATCAAGGGGTGCTTACATCTGACCCTTGGTAATGATGATGCGTTTGGGGCGAAGTTTGAGTCAGTGCTCTCCATATATCATTAAATATTTCTATATA